AATTATTTTCAGGAGTCCAAAGGAAGAGTTATTTTTAAGAGTCCAAAAGAAGTAAAAGGTAGAGGATGTCATAGATTCTGATAGGAAACCTCAGTGACTTCCCAAAAAATCCTAATGTGTGACTGAGTTTTGGAGACGATGTTATTTGAGTTCAGTGATGCCAATTTTATTATTTGGGACTTACATTTGTATAATATACGATTATGCAGATAGCCTATAGAAATGAGAGGCTTTACGTCGTACCAGACGACAACATCAGAACCTAAGATGAGTTAGGACTTACGCTGCACAACATGGTTGTACAAGAACCTAAAGAGGGTGTGAGGATTTACGTCGCCCTGAGCGAGTTACTTTGAAGTCCTATGAGTTGTTATTTAAACTAAGGAGAGATATTGTTGAAGAAGATTCTTTTGTTGCTCGATCCAAGCTCCTTGCCATGCTGCCCACAAAGCTGTCTCCAAGCTCCTCGTCAAAGTAGCAGTCATAAAGTCTAAGGTTCAAAATGTTTGACCAGATTTGTTTCAAAGTTTTGGTTTTGTTGTAATTTAAGCCTTATAGGGGGTTAAAGTTGATTGGAGTGACACCGGTTAAGATCCCACGATTCCCTCGTTCCGGTACTACTATTTTCTTTTGAATTTACTTAGTTTAAACGAGTTAAGCTCATTTAAACTCGGAAGATCTCATTAGCAATCGTGAGTTATCTCATTCGAGGGAGTCATAGAGATGTCCAAAGGAAGGAAAATGTAGAGGATGTCATAGAGATGTTGATTGGAGAGTCCTCGAGAAGAAAAGTGTTGATATGACTTATATTCAAGTCATTAAAGATATGTATACTAGAGCTGTTACTTGTGTTACTTGTGTTCAAACTGAAGGAGGATTGACCAAATATTTTCCTATTTCTGTTGGATTACATCAGGGATCGACTTTAAGCCCTTATCTTTTTGCTTTAGTTATGGATGGTCTTACTAGACATCTACAGGAGGATGTACCTTGGTGTATGCTTTTTGCTGATGATATCCTTCTCGTGGATAAAACGAGAGAAAAAGTCCAGGAAAAAACTTGAATTATGGAGGTCTACATTGGAGTCTAAAGGCCTTCGTTTAAGTAGAACTAAAACTGAATACATGGAATGTAATTTTAGTAGTAACAACTCTAGTGACAGAAGTGTGATTTTGGGTGATCAAATTATTAAAAAATGTGAACAATTTAGATATCTTGGGTCTGTTGTTCAAAGCGATGGTGATATAGATGGGGATGTTAATAGTAGAATTCAAGTTGGTTGGTTGAAGTGAAGGAATGCTTCGGGACTTTTGTGTGATAGAAAAGTACCGCTAAGACTGAAAGGAAAATTTTATAAGACGGTGGCGAGACTTGCAATGCTCTGTGGCGCTGAATCTTGGCCTTTAAAAAGGAAGCATATTAATAAGTTAAGTGTTGCCGAGATGAGAATGATTAGGTAGATGAGTAACTTTACACTTAGAGACAAAATGCAAAATGAATATATTCGTGATAGTGTTGGTGTAGCTCCTATGCTCTGTGGCGTTGAATGTTGGCCTTTAAAAGAGAAGCATAATAATAAGTTAAGTGTTGCTGAGATGAGAATGATTAGGTGGATGAGTGGCTTTACACTTAAAGGCAAAATGCGAAATGAATATATTCGTGATAGGATTGGTGTAGCTCCTGTGACAGACAAAATTAGAGAAAGTCGTCTTAGATGGTTTGGTCACATTAAATGTCGATCATCTGATGATCCGATTAGGAGAGTAGATGTTTTAGATTCGACTTGTGTTAAGAAGACAGAGGTAGACCTAGGAGGACTTGGGCTTATTGTATTAAAAATGATCTTAATTTACTAGAACTAAATGAAAATATGACACTAAATAGGATGCAGTAGAGAAAAAAGATTCATGTAGCCGACTCCACGTAGTGGGATTAAGGCTTTGTTGTTGTTGTTGTGTTGTAGTTATTTTTAAGAGTCCAAAAGAAGTAAAAGGTAAAGGATGTCATAGATTCTGATAGGAAACCTCAGTGACTTCCCAAAAAATCCTAATGTGTGACTGAGTTTTGGAGACGATGTTATTTGAGTTCAGTGATGCCAATTTTATTATTTGGGACTTACATTTGTATAATATACGATTATGCAGATAGCCTATAGAAATGAGAGGCTTTACGTCGTACCAGACGACAACATCAGAACCTAAGATGAGTTAGGACTTACGCTGCACAACATGGTTGTACAAGAACCTAAAGAGGGTGTGAGGATTTACGTCGCCCTGAGCGAGTTACTTTGAAGTCCTATGAGTTGTTATTTAAACTAAGGAGAGATATTGTTGAAGAAGATTCTTTTGTTGCTCGATCCAAGCTCCTTGCCATGCTGCCCACAAAGCTGTCTCCAAGCTCCTCGTCAAAGTAGCAGTCATAAAGTCTAAGGTTCAAAATGTTTGACCAGATTTGTTTCAAAGTTTTGGTTTTGTTGTAATTTAAGCCTTATAGGGGGTTAAAGTTGATTGGAGTGACACCGGTTAAGATCCCACGATTCCCTCGTTCCGGTACTACTATTTTCTTTTGAATTTACTTAGTTTAAACGAGTTAAGCTCATTTAAACTCGGAAGATCTCATTAGCAATCGTGAGTTATCTCATTCGAGGGAGTCATAGAGATGTCCAAAGGAAGGAAAAGGTAGAGGATGTCATAGAGCTCCCGCAAATTCAAAAGAACGTGTTGTGTTTTTTTTGTTATTTTTGTTTTGTTTTGAAAATGTTGTTTAATTTTGAAAAACAGTTTTTCTTTAAAAACGAAATTGCAACCAGTCATGCATGATATATATTAGAGCAAAAGTAAATTACACTAATAAAAAATGACAATAAATAAACTTTACACGTGTACCTGGCGTATCTGTTGCTGTTGTTCCTGCTGCGTGAATAGCTCATTAAACATAATATATTTGCAAGAAATTTAAATAAACTTACGGGGAAAGTAAGCAAAGCGAGGAAACCTAGCACGAAAGTCAGAGAAAAAATAGAGTCGTAGAAATCACATGCAAAAAAAATCTGTAGTCACATATGGAAGACTAGGACTGGCTGCAAGACATTTGTAAAAGTGGGGGCTTAGAGCTGGACTGTGTGCTTCCCGATCTTGAACAAGAGTTACCAACCTGACAATCTACGGAGGGCAGTCCTTAACCATTATCCAAATGACTAATCATGAACTTTGATAAGTTTTCATAGAAAATTTTTTTGATTTTCATGTAAAAGGTGTTCAAGTTTTTTTAACATGCAGAAGAGATTTTGTTTTATTTTTACAATATATTTTATAAAGTTGTGTAGGCCACAAGTTAGTCACTAATCGTGCTAGAACTACTGGCAACCTAAGGGTGTCGGGATAACAATCCCATCAAGAGTCGGCGAATAGTATCATCGATCCTTTCTTCTCCCTTATTAAAGGTCCTTGAGGTAGGAGATACTATTCTAATAATCCCACTTTGTATTTCTCGTTTAAGCACACACAAACAATGTCATCATCGCCCTTGTCACCTAGACCCTAGAATTATTTTAGTCCTGTGATCCATATGTGACATTAATAAATGTCCTCAATTGCTAGGAGGATTTGAGTGTAATGTTCAAGCTCAAATCCCGGTGCATTGAGTTTCATTGTGGGTTAAGTCATGACGAAAATTTCATTAGTTGATTTAATTAAGGAAGTCGTGAACCATATCTTGGTGCATCCTCGTGCTAGTGTTTTAATCGATTTGTGGATTAAAGTCAATTGCTTAGTTTCATCATTTGTTTGAAAACTAGGTAAATTAACTCTCACCTAGGGTGTGCTCCTAAAGTCTAGGAAGTTTATGCTTCTAACTTGAGCTTGCAGTGATTTAAGGTGTTTTGCTTTCAATTAAGTATTTTCTAACTAATCCTTAAATATCTTCAAGTGTTTTTCCAAATAATTAAATCAGAAATTTTCATTTTTAACTTAACCATTTAATAAAAGAAATAACACAAAAGAAAGGGGAGAATGCCGACCCACTTCCAAAACTGGCAAAGCAAAGGGGCGAGACAACAAGTGAATCGGCCTGAAAAAGTTTAAATAATAATCAATTGAAATCCAAAACAATTCGAAAAAGGCCTCCCTAAAACCAACTCTAAACTGCGTGTGAATCAACACTTAAAGGCTACATAAACTCTACAAAACAGTGCACAAAATCAGCCCAAACCGGCACCTAAAGTGGCTCCAAAACAGAGAGGAATTTGAGCAAGAACAACCCTATGGATTGCCTTAAATCGGCTAACTAAAATGTCTTAAAACAATGATTTAAAAAACCCCAAATGATGCGTTTAATGTCTCTAAACCAGTGATTAAAACATCCCCTCAAACAATGGGTTTAATGCCTCCAAAACAATAGGTAAACAAACCCCCAAGAAGATATGTTTAAACCTTCCCCAAACAATATGTAGTACACAGTGAAAAAATTTCTTTATCACACATGCAAGTATTCAAGTTTCAAATGTGGGACATATAAACTCATAAGAACTGGACGGTATATATGCATGCAAGTGGAAACCTTGTGTTAAGCAAGTAAATGCATCAGAATGGCATAAGTATTCTATTATATGTAAGTTTGACTATCTAATTGCCTAGTCACGTAAGCAAGTGAGAGAGTTCAATTGTATCAAAATTTAACTATCAAACACATATAACTCCAATCATATTTATGCAAATCTAAAAAAACGTAGGCATGTAGACAAATAAATTTGAGATACGTGAATGTGAATACATAAGAATTCATTAGTATAAAAGAAAACCTAAAAGCTTGGGCATGTAAACATCCAAATTCTGCAATTTAGGCATTTAAATACATAAGAATTGAATAGTATGTATGTAAATTTCCCTTTTCTATTTTTTTTTTTTTCAAAGTGTCATGTGCCTAAATATATGTAAAAAAAACGAGGAAGAGCAAAGGGAGAAGGGGTTACGCTGCTGAGGTTCGCCGGAGAGAGGATATTGTCAGAGGGCAGTTCGCCGGCTGGAGTTTGCTGTGACAAAGGGAAAGCTTGCATGTTTATTATAGGCCAGTAGAAGAATGATTGTTGCTGGATCGGTGTAAAGGGTGTGCAGCTCTTGGTGCAGAGGGCAGGAGACGAATGCTGGGAGAGTTTCGGTGTGACGGAGACGCAAGCTGAGCGGGTTTTGGTGCAGAGGCGAGGCGAGCGGGCGAGTGGGAGAGGAAGGCGAGGGCTTCGATGCAAAGGAGAGCAGATGCAGCCGGGAGAGGGGAAGACGAAGCAGGCGCGTGAGGGTGAGGCAAGCGGCTTCGACCTGTTCGACGTGAGGAGAGGAAGAGGCGAGCGGGGAAGGGGGTCGAATCTGTCTAGCCAAGAAGAGGAAACTGGGAGAAGAAGGAGAGGGGCCGAATGGTTCTGTTGAGAGCGGGGAGGCCGAATCGCGAGGGAGAGAGGGAGAAGCGAGCGAGTGCGAGAGTGCTTCTGGGCGAGCGTGAGAGAAGAGCAGGCGAGCTGTATCGGTGCAGAAGGGCGAGGGCTTCAGTGCAGGGAGGAGGGGCGAGGGCTTCGGTGCAGGGAGGAGGGGCGAGGGCTTCGATGTAGGGAGGAGGCGGGCAGGTGAGTCTTGGGAGAGGAAGAGGGGGATCGAATCGAGCGTGAGAGGGAGGAGTTGAATGCCAGCTCCACTGCGAAGAGGAGGCAAATTAGTATTGGCAAAGTTTCGAGGGAGTAATTTTGAAGCATTGGCGGGGAATTAAACAAATTATATTAATGCAGCCGACTTAATTGAAAATTCTTAACTCTTAATTAAGATGAGATTAAATGATCCATTTGAAATTTGAAAATTTAAAATTCAAAATTGTTTAACCTCTGTTCAGCCAGAGTTCAGCTCGAATCGAACCCGAATTGGGCGAGTGTGGGAGTTCTCTTGGGCGAGCGGTATCGATGCAGAAGGGCGAGGACTTCGGTGCAGGGAGGAGGGGCGAGGGCTTCGGAGTAGGAGGCGGGTAGGTGAGTCTCAGGAGAGGAAGAGGGGGCCGAATCTAGCGTGAGAGGGAGGAGTTGAATGCCAGCTCCACTGCGAAGAAGAGGCGAATTAGTATAGGCAAAGTTTCGAGGGAGCTGTTGTGAAGCATTGGCGGGGAATTAAACAAATTCCATTCATGCAGTGGGCTCAATTGGAAAATCTTAATTCTTGATTAATATGAGATTAAATGACCCATTTGAAATTTTAAAATTCAAAATTATTTAACCTCTGTTCAGCAAGAGTCCAGCTCGAATCAAACCCGAGTTGAACTTTGGTTGAGCCCAAGCCTGGGCCCGCACTTAGTAAAAAAAAAACGTACATCGATTTTTGTGCTATCTGCTCGTGCATAGAACCATAGTGATATGGGTGTCCTTCCTAGCTAAAGTCAACGTCCCGGACGCATCTGTGTGGTCTGTTTCGTCATCCGAGGTAGTTTCGACGAGGTTGCTGACGATCGGGCCAATTCAAGTCAACATCGTGCGTGGTGCAGTGAGTGCGTAAATTGCGGCGTTCGCGAGGTTCAAGTCATAAACGGTTTACTTAAGACCTCCTAAATCCTGTGGGAACTCATTTCGGGCCCTCCACATGTTGGTCCTTAACCCTTGCAACTAAAAGTTGAGTGTTTTGGACCACTCATGCGATGTCTTCACAAAAATTAGTCAAGAAGTGGTGTGAAGTTCTACGTGAGGCGGGCTCCATTATTAGTCCACTAGGATGGTCAATAAGAAACTCCTAAAGCTAGATCATAGGATGGTCAAGACTCTTCTTTCTAATATTCTTCTTATTTTCTTTTGTTTCATCTTCACCTCCCTAAGTCTCTTCTAAACAAGATGCTTCTTTTTTCTACAACAAATGTAGTCATTTCTTTAGATGGCATTTCTATTTGGCGGGGCAATGTTTCTTTTGTCTCCTGTTTTCAAAGTTCATGAGAAATTATAAATATATATTTCTATAGGCATCGCTTTTCATTTGTGTTTGTTAGCGGTCGTTTGCTTAGAAATATTAGGAGTGCAAAGTAAATCAAATGTAGGGATTTTGAAAATTTAAGTGTCCGATTGGAAAAAAATTAATTTATAAAGTAATTTGTTGAGTGATTTGGAATCCCCTTGGGTACTTTTTTTGGGGTGTATTCCTAATTTTGTTAAATTAGATGCATTCAGAAAATGCAGCATCATGAGACGATCTTTAATGACTGTTGCTTACTTGATTATTATCTGCTGCTTGCTTAATTTCCTCTCTCCACTTGTTTGATCACCACCCACGAGTGCTGTACGTGATGCTAACCATCCCTGCGACCTCGTGGACCTTGTGTCACCTTCGCTGCGCCACGTGACCTTTGTCCCTCCTTGTAACACACCTGCACCACCCAGGCTAGGGCTACAAGACTGTCAAAAGCTGTGAGTTTTTTTTTATTTCTGCTATTTCTTGGATGAGGAAAACAAAATACTACTCTGGCTTGCCTATTGAACTTTTACTCCATTTTGTTGTTATGAATTGAAATTAATTTGTTTGGACTCCTTGTATATGAATCCTTAAGAAGGATCATCTACACCTCTATATAGCTTAATTTTCGGAAATATTTCATGTAGCTTTTTATTATAAGGGCGTTTTTTTTTTTCGTTTTGCTTCCAGTACTAAGCAAGCACGAAGCTGAACAGGTCCGATCTCCTTTAAGCTGCAGCTAGAGGGATTCTTGGCTTGAGAGGAGAGCTTGCAGGTGAATGAGAGTGGCTGTTGAGAATTTGGTGGAAGTGAGGTTGCAGAAAATATCTCCGGCGAGGGTGGGGCAAATGTGGAATTCAATTTGCTGGCGGGAGAGTGAGAGTAGGGATACGGAGGGAGATGGGGTTTTCACCTGAATATATGTGAGAGAAAATCTTATGCGGAGTGTACGTTCGAACAATGATCTAGAATAGGACCAGGGGCCATAATAGTAGCCACCGAAGGTTTGCTCTAGTGGAAGAGATCTTTAGAAAAACGTTGAACCCCTCTTATTTATAATTTCTTTCCTATTTTGTTTGCTGTCCAATTTACCTTTAGAACCCTCTTGTTCCGCTTGTTTCCCATTGCAAAAGCTCCTCAAAAGTGGAGGAGAAGGCAGTTTCAAAGAGCAGATTTATTTGCCTGATATTAAGGCATACTTTGTGCGCTTCTTCCCCATATTTACAGGGCCAGATCAACTAGCTATAGTGGCCCAGTTCTTATATTCCAAAAACCACTGTAGTCATGAGCAATCAACCAAATGTTCGTTGCACGCATTCATGGCACCACACCCCGGAGAAAAAGCATCCAGAAGGAAATCGGAGAAGCTAAAACTAGCCGCCGACAATGAACATGATGTCGACGAGGAAGCCGCTGACCACCCTGAGCCCTCGCATCTCCAATCGAGGAAGAAGAGGCTGCGATCCCTTCTCTCCCCTTTCAAAAAAGAGGAGCTTATCGATCTCCACGTCCAGATAGGCACCAAAATTCCCGCCGCCGCTAAAGAAATCCGAGACGCAGCGAATGCAAATCCTCAAAACCGCAGACTTTGTGTTCGTTTCTTAAATCCGACGACCACCACAGAAACTCTGTGCGCAGCCTTCTCCTCATTTGGTGAAATCCAGCGCGGACTTGTTATCCTTGAGAGGAAAACAGGGGAATCCCGCTGTTTTGGTTTTATCACATTCAAGGACATAGAATCTGCTGAAGAAGCACTGGAAACCCCACCGAAAAAGATTGACGGTTATGTCATTGAGTGCAATCATGCTTCGGATCGATGGGCCAGAGCATCGAAAATAATATGCGTTTCAGGCTTGCCTCCAGATGTATCAGCTAAAACTTTGCGCAGTCATTTCTCACAGTATGGGGAAGTAAAAAAATGTGAGGTTAAGTACAAGAGCAAAACAAAGAAGTCGAAGGGATATGGATTTGTGACGTTCAAGACGATTGGGGGAGCGATGCGGGCCAACCGGCCTCAAAAATTCATGGGGGAAAATAGGATATATGTGCGGTACTCAGATTGGAAGTCCAAGGAACCAAAAATTCCGCGCATCATGCAATCTGAGAGTACTTCTGAGAGTACTGCGCCCCCGCCGGCCCGGCCGTCCCCGCCGCTCCAGCCGCCCTTGGCGCCGAGTTATGTGGCTGGCGCATACTATGGGCCATACGCCTTTGCCGGACCTCATCATTTTGGTGCAGATGAGGCTCACCCATACTACGGGCCTTACGCCATTGTCGGACCTCATCATTTTGGGGCAAATGAGGCTCACCCATACTACGGGCCTTACGCCATTGCGGGACATCGTTATGTTGGTGGAAACGAGGCTTATGGAATGGCTCCATGGGGAACATCAGGTTATCCCTACCACTAATTTTCCTTACCTATTCATTTTGTTTTTAGGGTTCGACGTTGTAGAATAATGTGTGTCGCTTGGCGGCGCGCTACTCCTAGAGATAATTTATGACCGCTCTGAGTTTTTGTTGGTTGGATTAATTTCATTCTTTGTTTTGCCACTGGTTGCGTGCTAATAAAATGGTAATGCTTTAAAACCGGATCGATTTAGCTCGTGGAAAAAAAAAAATCTAAAGTGAAATTATTGCAGCATTATTTTTGCATAAAGTAATAAATTTGCATAGAGATGTGTACTGATATGATTATTAGTGTTGAATTATTATAATGCAACAGTCATTATAATAAAAAAAAATTAAGTGTTGCACGTATATATAGAGAACGGTACAGAAGCATTCAGGAAAATGTGTATTAATTTTTTTTTTTTGTAATAATGAATGTAATATTTTATGTTATAACAGGCGCTATTACATAAATTTATTAATTCAATCGTATTGTTTAATAAATTTTAATTAAATATTGAATTTAATATTCATTCATCAGAGTCATGAATTGTCAAAATAAATAAAGCATTCAAAATAAATATATAATTTAACTGTATCAAGATATTTTAAGTAATTAATGCAACGATTTTTTTTTCTTTATTTTTTTATTCTGTTTTAAGGTTCACATTCGAAATCTCATTCAAACACTTTGTGGGCATTCGTGCTTTGAGAGGAGTGAATAGTAATATATCCTGTCAATTATGTCTTATGCATAAAACTATTTCCTTATTTATTGGGGAGAGGATACAATGCGATGGTGTTATATTTTTGCCTCTGCTTAAAATGGGATTGTTTAAAGTATTCTTATTATTTTACATGTATGAACTGATCAGGGGTCAGTCAACTAAGCTCAATTGACTTCGGGTTGGCAAGATCAACTTGGTCAGTTAAGATTCCCCTGGTTGGATGGTATTAGCTTGGTTAAATGAATATGATCTAAATGAGTCATCCGGTTGATATGGCTTGGTTGTCGATCCCTGACCCTCGATAAAGTGCCTTTGGATATCTCTATGTTGGTTTGAGATACTAAGCAAACACATTTTTGTGGAATCAGCTCTTTTGTGATAATCGTCTTAGATATCCTTTTATTTTACTTTTGTCTGAATGACTCATTCTTGTATCTTATGGTCATTTTATGCCTGTCCTGCGATTCTGTCAACTTTGGCCTATCTGGCTTTGGCTCAGACAACTTCACTCAGTGGACAAGTTGGTCTCATGGCCTTCTGTTAGCGAGCCCTCCTTCGTCGTACTCTTTTCATTTACTGTTTGATCTCATATGGATTAACGAAAACACATTTTTTATTTATACTAAAATATCATAAAAGGTAGAAAATCAAGTTTATCGGTTGATAATTCGTCTATTTTTTAATCAAATAATTATTGATAAATATCCGCTAAACAATTCTTTCACGTTGAATGTTCCTCGGTTATTTAGATTGATATAGAGCTTGCTTCAAGCTGTAGTTTTTCAGGTTGAACTACTCGACTTTATTACTTAGGGTGTTATGCTATTCTTTTGGGCCGTGCCTTTTTAGAAATATTTTTGGTCTCGGTCTCTCAGTTTCAATGAAGGCTATTAACTTTTTGATAATAGTTTGTAAATCAATAAAGACTTTGGGATCACAAATATGAGATTTTGAGGTGTGTTTTAAAATAGGGGGAGTTAGTGATATGTGCTAGAAAACTCGCAACAGTAGAGTAACGAATTATCGTTTTAGCGTTGTACGAGAATTCAACACACATACAGTTGAAAGAGAAACAAACAGTGACGACTCCAGAAGTTTCTATGTGGAAAACCCATAAAGGAAAAAAACCATGAGTAGTTGATAGTTTACTGTTGTTTTTCTGGAAGATTACATACATACGACTCCATTACTAAGTAGTTTTTGATGGAGTCCTTAGGGTTTAAACTAGAATTTAGTAGAAGGTTTTGGTTGGTATACCAATAACCCCAAGTCACATCCACCAATAATCCAAGCCATTCCGCATTTTGTGTTTGAATTTGTGCTCAATTTCTTAACTAATTCATGAACTAATGTCAAGTGATTAACTTAAACATTCAATTGAGGGTTAAGTGAGTGAACCCCTGTCTGGGGTATGCTTATAGCACTTGGGGAATTCACAATGAGACTTGAGCTTGTAGTGTTCTAAAATGTTTCATTATCAATTATGTGTTTTGAACTGAACCCATGCACCCTAATTCACTAACAAGCTCTTAAAAGGTTCAAGTGTAAATTTGTAATTTTTTCAAAAGTTCATGAAGTGTATTTTATCTTTATTAAAAAAATTGAATTTGCTTCACCAATTGATTAAGGTGTTCAAATCAATGGTTAATTGGTCTCTAAATTCATCCCCCTTTAGAATCATCCAAACTTTTTTTCTTCCATTCTCAACAATTTGGATAATTACAATATTACCCTTGTACAAAAGTGGTGAGTGAGTTGCTACCTTATTGCCCTTTTTATTTCACTTAGGAGAAATTTAACATAGTAATTAGTTCAACTACTCGAAAGAAGTTCTTCGTCTTTAGAAGATTTATATAATGTTGCTCAAGGTTAGAGGACCAATCAAAACAAATTTAATGATTTTATAAAATATAATTTAATTTTTATAATTTTTTAAATAATTTTTGAAAGAAAACCAAATAGAAAATATAATTGCATATAAATCAAAGTTCACTTTTTTCCTGATTTTGCTGACCATAGAGAAATCATCAAACTTGATTTTGTATTTTTATGATTTATCTTTTATTTTTAATAATTATTTTACCAAAACACTGACATTTTCTTTTAAAATAAGGGATTTTAATGTTAGTAGTAGCGTTATCTGATTTTGGAAAAATTAGGAAACACTCCTAAGAGCAAGGATAACAAATCTTCAAAATTTCAAGTTGTGGTGGTGATGGACATTTAATTTTTTTTATATTTTAAAAAAAGATTTGGGCATTAAATAATATACATAAAAATAATAAGTAAATGTTTTTAATTATAGTTCAGTAATTTCTTCTCCGTTCATAGAGTACAATGATATTTTTAATTTATTTTTATGATTTTTCTACGCTAAGATATGATTTTTCAAAGTTTGAATCAATTTATGGACTTAATTAAATCAAGAAAAGTCCCATTTTTCTACATAACCATGTGGTGCCACATCATCCTAGGAAGCTCCAAAGACTCCACGCGTCGTCCCGCCATTTGCTCCGTTGTCGCATCGTCAGCCCAGGGTTTAAAACTCGAATACAATTGTAATAATGCCGGAGTACAATAAGAATAACATTGCGAGCTCAAAAAGCAAATAACATCGTGAAACAGTGCCAATAACACCAGAAAACTACCAAAATACTACGTAAATAACACATACACTGTTTCTCGTCCCAAACGAGTGTAAATCATAAACTGTCCAACTTAAATATTTAAGATCTTGCTCGATACTTAATAAATTAAGCACAATTTGTTCCTACACCTTCATCTAAACATGAAGAACACGTTCATGCGGCTAGATTATCATGACATGCAAATTTTCTTGACAAAGGTCCAAACTGAGAAGAAAATGGAGTTTTCGGGTCAATACCTTGGTCCAAGAGGTGTAGCCTCGATTGGATGGTTTCAAAAGCTTCACCTGAGTCCCACGAACTTGCTCCAAGCGTTGGATTTGTCTGAGAACAGGACCAAGTACGAACTCGACCAAAAGGTGGTTCAGACTTGGTCTAGGGCTAGGTTAGAGAGCTCAGGAAGGAGGGATTTTCATTAGGGGGAGGTTTTAAGGCATGGGAAAGCTTTTGGAATGATTGGTGTGGAGTTTTGTTCGAGTAAATTTTAGGAGGCTGATAAGGTCCTGTGTTTGTACGTTGAAATGAGGGTTTCTTATTGGAAGGGAGAGGCTGAGGATAGTGGAGATGGACTTCTTGAGGCAGTAGGAAGGCTTGGTGAAATTTTGGCAGAGTTTCCTTAAGATTTATTGGCACTCCCCATTTTTTTGCCATGTGGGTCCTTCTTATAGGCCCAGCCATGGTGGCCAAGTAGGCAAGCTGAGGTGTTAAAAAGATTTTTGAGGTGGAGGAATCCAATGTCCCAAGTCCAATGGGGTTAACCTAAGTATTGTGGGTAGTGCTTTGGGTTTGAGCAAAGGTGGTGGCTCTTTGGTTTGAGTTTTCTAGCGACCAAGGTGGCAAGGCCAGGTTAGGTATGATTAAGACTGGCTTCGGAGGATTAATGGTGATAAGTTTGGAAGCTAGGTAGGCTGTGGCATATGTAAGTGGATTGGCCAAAAAAAGGGTAGACGAGCATGCACAATTTGGGGGCCCTTTAGTCCATGCCATGAAAAATGGCTCGGGTAGGTTGACATGATGACCAACTCCTAAGCTTAAGATGGGCCTGAGGAGATTATGCTTTTATAAAAAAGATTTAGGCTAGATTTTAGTTTAAATGAACCACAAAATGGGAAGGATACCCTTGGCCAAGGGAGGCATGAAAAGAAGTTCCTCATTTTTGCCACTTAGGGAATGCTTCTTGGGCAGAGAGTGAGGGGCAGAGTCAACTTGTCCTTTACCATGTGCAAGTGAGCTAAATCAAGAGACAAAGACATCATTTAATCTATTTATGTGTTATTAGGACTTGTATTTTGGGTGTATTGTGGTAGTATTGGTGGGAAAAACACAGTGGGAAAAAACACAGTGGAAATGTGAAGAAAGAGTTATTCAAGGGCTTCAGGGTTTTTGGAAGTATTTAGGACGTTAGCATGACCTCATATGGAATGGTGTTATTGCGCCTGTATTGTGGTAGTATTGGTGGAAAATCGAAACTGAAACCTCCCAAAGGTGGCGTTATTTGGTGTTCTATGGAGTTTTGTGGAGTTTTGCGGGGTTATTGGAGTTGTTTGAGTGGTTGTTGAGGTTTTGGTAGGTGTTATTAAGTTTAGTGAGTTTGGTGTTAATTGGTTATATTTGGTGTTATAGGGTGGCACTAGGGTGTAGAGTTGCGACTGCGAGCAAAGTCAAATAGAGTTATTTAAATGTGAAGTGGAGTAATTTTGGTGTTATTGAGGTAAAATCAGCAATTTGGTGCTATTGGGGGTTGTACCCGGGTTGTCTTTCGTTGGATCATTGAATTATTGGAAAAGCGGTTGGTATTGGCGTGTTTTTTGCGACGATTCAGTGTCATTGCGTGGGGGGA